CTACTTATAGTATAGTTTTAGAGCAAATCTTCCATTAAAAATGCCAGAATGAGAAACAGAGATTAAATTTATGCTTTAATTTGTTTTGGTTTTGTAATGTTGATTTTTTAATTGATTTTAATTACAAGTCATTGAATTCTGTGTTGCAAATCGCTCACTCTGTATGTGTGAAGGGTGCAAAACATTATTTTAGAAAGATCATACTCTTCTGTGACTCTGTTCTCCATATCCACTTTTTCCTGCATGTGCCTCCTTTCCCCATGGAGTTCATATGCAGAGTGATGTGGCACTCTGGTTACCCTTTGTTAAGCAAAAACGTTATAAATATGACCTGTACGTTGGCATTTACATGGGTTTGGGGCAAATATCATTGGCAGGGCACACGTCAGAGTTTCTTTTTAATCATGCCGGGGAGTAACACTCATTTTAATGAAGACTGTGCACTTTATTTTACCCTATACCATGCATCAAAGAGGAAGCTTCCATGAGCATGTTGAGCACAGGAAGTAATTGGGTTTAGATCAGTATGTGGAAACTGCCTCAGCAAAATTTTCTTAGTCATGATGACTTCTTCTTGCTATTGCTGGTGTCTCTGGAGAGTATATAATTTTTTATCTTTGCATGCAAAGATCAGAAAAACTGATTGGAGACTTTAAAAAAGGAACTAACCTCTAATGCCTATATTCAATGAATTCTCAGTTATTCAGAGCTGGGAGGTAGATTCAGAGCACAAAGACAACTTCCTGCACGGGCTCATTTTTTCCATAATGCTCTAGGAGCAGCAGAACAGAGATGAATGGAAAGTGTAAATTGACTCACATTTTTCAACACTGACCAATTTGATAGAGATGGTCTGTTTCTGAAAGGAAATTTTCTTCATCATTATCTGAAAAATCAGTTCAGTTTCTCCTTGTTGTGTAACATCCGTGTACTTTGGTGGCCGCCTTGGTTACCTGAAAAATAATTTGTTAGGGAAAATCTATGCAGGGAACAATCAATTCAATTTATTTATTTTTGCTTAGTCTTTATTTTGAAAATTCACAGACATTATTAATTTCCCATGTGGTTCTTTTCCTTTCGCTGTCAGTATGTTGGTGACCCTGTGTCTTTGTTGGCTCTGCTCAACAGGTGAAGCAGCAGTGTCCATGTCCGGACATTCTTTCAATAGTGATCCAGAAGTAAGAAGGCTCTGCACAAGCCACTGTACTCTCCTAAAATCCTTCAGCAAGTTGAGTATTTTAAAAAAATCACAGGTGTCTAAACACAGATTTCACATATGGTGAAATGGCTGTGTTCCATGTATCTGGAAGGCAGTGGCCGTTTGCAAGCAGGATATTCTTATAGGGCCTGATTTCCAGATAACCTATGCGTGGAAAACGTGAGTCTATTGAACACCTAAGTTTTATGTGACTTAGAATGGTTGTCTGTGTCTATTAGGTACTTTATTTTGCACCTGATAGTGTTCTAAGGCCGTGTATAAATTACAAGCAAAGTTATGCATCTATACATAAGCCTTTAACATGGCTGCTATTCATTGCTATGATGAACATGTTTCAACTACTGTGATGATTTTTGCCTCAGATATCCATGTTATTGTTTTGGATATTTTAAAGCTCACTATTAAATCTTAAGGACCAAATAACTGAACTGAGTAAAACAGCACAGCTCTCTGACTTCAGTAGAGAGAGCCTGATTTACACCAGCTGAGAATCTGATTGTCGCTTTTGAGCTGTCGTAATTGCTTAAGTGAAACAGACAAAGTAATTGGTGCAAACTAATACAACTGATGGAAAGATTCAGTGTTTGTCAATACCAACTATGCTATGGAGAACCTGATCAATGAATTAGTCTATCAATTAATTAGCCTAGGCAGAAAATGACTCCCTGTTCCGTTAGTCCATGAAAAGATCAATAAAGTCAAATGTCTAGTTTAGTGTTTCTCACGTAATGATTATATTATGAGAAGAAGAAGAAAAACAATGTTTATACTGTTTCAATTACAGTTTTCAAGTGTTCAATTAACAAAAAGATACCCAGATTGTCCTATTAGAAAGATTAAAGCAGAAACTTTAGGATTTTAATGCTGTAAAGTTACTTGTTGTCCTGTCTATTTAAACTGCATCTTCAAGGGACTGATATTTCTATAAAGAAATGATTCTCTGGTATAAGGATTCACATATGCTGAGCAACCATTTTGTCAGTTCCTCTACGTGGGAAATTGTGGCAAGAACATCAGGCTTTTAGGGCAAATCCTTCATTTTGGCAGGGGCTAGACTGAGCCACCTCTCTGGGATGACTTTGGCAGTTCACAGCTGTTGTTGTGTCATCATCAGAAACACACTGGGCAGAAAACTGAGAACTCAACCTTTTTCTGTTTTAATTGGCTGCAGTCTTATTATTTCTGCTAAGTGTGGCCTGGTCACTCACACTTTGAATTTTGCATATTCATAATTGACTTTACAGCAAAAATAAGCAAATACATCTTCTGTTACAATCTGCTAAAGTCCCTAATTATAAAGCCTTTAATGTCTGGCTGTTTGCCCTGTAGTATGAAAGAGAGGCAAGCGTTCTTGCTTTCATGCACACACATTTGGTGGTTACAAACTTTAAAAGTATGCTTTTAGATATCATTTGTATAAAATGTGAGAAGGGATAATCATGTGAAAACCGAAGTAGCTGGCTATTAGTCAGGCTTGGAGGCTGATGAAAGGAGATTTTGTGAAGGGAGACAAAAAAAAGTCCAGATTACCTGAAAATAAGATTTTACTGAGAGGAAAAATTTGTTGCAGTAATGCTGTGATAATCTGCTGTGATGAATAATAAACGTACGGCAGATATCAAAATAAGGCTATCTACAGTCAGTGAATAATTACAGCTTTGAGATCATCTAGGCTTTGGTGAACATGTAGATTACTCTTAATGTCAGTCATAACCTTTTACCTTTTTCAGTCTGTTTACAGACTACAATACTGTCTTTAAAAGCTTAGTCTTTTGCAGAAAAATTATGTGTTACTTCATGTTTCATATTCCAGTAGCAGTTTTTCTATTAAAAACAGATTCAATTTTAAGTAACTACTGATGATATGTTCAATGTGAGTTAGCTGGATGAAAAACTGTTGGCAGTCCTCCTGTTTTGCAGGGATTAGCTGAACTAGTCAGAATAAAATTGAAATGTGCCTACTTTTCTCAGTTTCAGCATATTCTACCTAAAACTTGCACTTGGTACATGCTCAAAGATATAAAAAATAAGATAATGTCTCACTTTGATGTAGGGAATGGTAACTTCCAAGCTGTTGCACAGGGAATCATAGGAGATACATATCCACCCCACTTTGTGTCCTCCTGAATGCCTTGTTTTGAAGCAGAGGATCCCACGCATCTCACCACTGTGTGAACATGGTGGTTGTGTTACCTCTTTGCAGGAGGTGTTTGAGGCCTGCAGAACAGCAGATGAAAAATTGGTGACAGAGGGAGTAAATATATTTAACCTGTTTTGATATGGACAACTATTCTGGGACAAAGGAGGTAAACACAGACTGTCACACTGACAATCCTTTCTTCCAAAATTCACAGTGTGATTCCAATGTCATATTCCTAAAATACAACCTTGCCGCAAGGATTGACTGAGTCAGAATAAGGCAGTAAACTTCTACTTACCTGGCACACTTCCCAGATGAATGTCCCAAAAAGGGCTTTTCTCAATCCAAACTCAACAGAGCATGGGCATGTGTTTCCTGACAGTGAATATCTGTAGGTTAGGAAAAACCCTTTATGGATTTACGTAGCCTCGATATCCCAAAACAGTTCCTATAAGAATATATTAAGGCTGAAACTTTCTTTGGAGTGTGCAGGAATTGCACAACATTTTCAGCAGGACATTTTTAATGAAGATGTGGCAGATGTGCAGGTCTAGGGATCAGTCTCTTATAATGGTCCTCTATGAGAGTAACCCATATTCATCACTGCCAAATCCTTAATTCGTGATGTCACTAACCCTGATGTGGATTATCTAGGTAAAAATTGCTATTAAACCCCCTGATGAGGGCACTACATTTTCATAACAACCATTATGTTCTAATGCACCTACAGATAGATAAAGATACAACTTCATTTACCATTTCTGCAGCTGGTTGTAGGTGACAGCAATCTTTTCACAGACACTTCTGGAGACACCAACTTGCATGTCTAAAGATAAGAGGCTTTTTTAAAAAAAAAAAATCAGCAATCAAGTGAGAAAGAGATGTTTTTTTCTGGGTATGAATAAGAGTAAGAATCTAACCAAATATACCTTAAAGCCAGCCAGGGGGGCAGGAAATCTGACTGCAATCCTTGATCACCCCCAGCACATACACACATCTATTTGGCTTTTCAGAGGAAAGAGATACCCCTCATCTGTTGGTAAATAGGTACCTTGAGGACTCATGCAGCACATTAATAGAAATCTAGTTTCTTCTATTATTCGTCTTTTGCTTGAGTGTGGGACTTCCTCTGCATAAATCAGCGGAGTGCTGCTTCACTGGATCTGAGCAATAATGGAGGTGGTTTTAGTAGCAGTGCAAAAAAGTTCAGCTTCTTCAGGCTTTTGCATTTACAGGGTTGGTAGCTGCAGGCCAATGTATGCGATACAAACATTGCCATCAGGAAACATTGGCCCAATTCCTTACCTGGTTCAGGATGACTTGCAAGTGTCTCTGTGATGAGGTTGCAGTGGAAGAGACAAGGATCCCACACTTGGTTCACCAAACCTTTCCAGTCACTCTTCATATTAACATAGCACTCATGTCTCATTTATGGACAGGGACCAACTTGTGCTTGGCACTGACCATGAAACTCTGGGCCCCAAAGAGCTTACACCCGTCTGCCAGCACATGAAGAGGGCAAGGGGGCAAGGAAACGTGCTCAGCTCTGATGGGACAGGAGAGCCATAGCCTGCAGTCTTAAGCATGCCAGCTCTCTAAACATCTCTACCTCTTTTTTTCTAATAGGCAAAGTAGAGTTTCTTAAAGAGGAGTTTGAAGATCAGTGAAGTAACTTTACCATTCTTTACAAGGAACCTTTCTGCAGCCTGAGCTACCAGCTGGTAGATACCATGAGTGAGTAATAATACCACAGATGGAGTAATTCCTTTGATTTTTATTTTTTTTTTTTTAGGTGGGGGGGAAGAATACTGTATTCTTTTGCTTTAATTAATATGCTTATTCAAGCTAAATATGGGGACAAATGCCTGGTGCTATTAGCCAATCTCACGTAACATTGTTATAATAAGGAACTAGAAAAAGATAAGTATGACAAAAGCTTAGCATAGCCAGCTATGGAGTCATGTTAATTTTAGACTCCAAGATCTTTTTGAAAAATGTCTGATGACCTGTTGGGTCCCATGTGGTTACTCCAGGTGGCACCAAACCCCATGGAGTTTGCAGCCAGGTCCCCACCAACAGGGGATCTCAGTGCAGTAGAGTCCACCTGGAAGCTGGCAAGGAGGCAGAGCTGGCTGTTGTGTGAGTAGTGTCCTGCTGCCTCTGCCTGGCTGTGACATGTCTGGCCCAGCAGGAGCAGGGGGTGAATGGTGCCTTCCAGATCCAATTGGGAGCAAAGAGGACTAGTGCACATCAGCTGATAAGGCTGGCACAGCTTTTCTCACTAATGTTGAGTAAATCCCCGAAGGCTATGGAAACCAGTAAGCAACTAAAAGTTCTAGTGCTTGTCAGAGTAATCTTATCCCAATGATCCACGTCTGTTGGTTCAGCAAAATGAGGGCTAGAAATGTCATGAGAATAGGATCTCTCCACAGAGCCCCATAATTCTGCTTCCAGTCTCCTGGGGCAGCAGCAAGAACTTAGGTGAATAAAAATGGTAAATAGTATTCACAGGAGGAAAAATTTCTCTGTAATCACAGGAGCTTTGCATAGAGTTTCATTCTTGACTTTGAAATTGTGAAACATTTGCCTTACATTTGCCTTGGTTCTGGCTTGTATTTTTTACTGAAACATACATCAGATATTTTCCCCAGTGTAGTTCTTGCAAAAATAACAAGCTCTAAAGCTTGTCCAGTATGCTTCAGCAAACCAAGCAGTAACACTCACTGCACTGGACCATGACCATATGTACATGCAGGGCTGTCTTTTTATTTTCCATTCCCATGTTCAGACAGTGTCACAATGTCTTTGATACAAATGATTTCATTGACTTAATAGTTGATTGTGTACCACAGAAGTTTGCAATAGCCTCGGAGGTCATGTTTAATGACACTGTTTTGCAGAGCCCAGCCAGTGCCTTCAACATGCACAGCTCAGCTCTCCATGTGCTTTGAACTGTACCATAATCCTCTTCATGCCCTAGATTGCCCATAGCCTTCTAAGTAGGAGAAGCTTCATGAGGAAGTGTCCTCACAACCCCACTGGAGACATGGGATCTTTCAGGCAGGACAGTGGGTACCTTTGCATTGCTTTGTGCCACTGGAGTTGGTAGAGATTTTACATACCACATTTCAACTATTTTTTTTTCTGCTCCCACTGCCCAGACAATTCAAGCAGGATCTAACAGCTGATGCAGAAGCAATCCTCATGGCCTATCTAGATAGACAAAGAGGTGAACTTGTTTTGTCCAGGGACCTACATTTTCTAAATATAATATCTAATCTACTAAATCAGCTTCTTGGGTAGCCTATTGCTGTAGGAAAAAATAGGTGATTTAATTGCCGATTTTTCATGCATTTCCTGCATTGAACTCTGTCTAGAACTTGACAGTACTCATTCGGGAGACCTGGAAAGGAAATTTCTGTGAGGTGGAGACATTTGCATATAACTGGTATAAAAATAATCTGGTTAAAACTGTGTTTAGACTCATGCAAAAGAGTCTTGAAGAGTCAATTAGACATGCACAAACTAACGAACTGCAAAAAAAGGCTTTCCCTCCATTAAATGCCTCTCCGTAATCATCAATATTCTTAAAAAGTGTAATGATTTCTTATCAGTGCTTGAATGAACCGTAAAACTACCTTTTGAAATATTGATATTTCCACAATTTTGAACACAAGAATGTTTTCCCTTCTATATAGAAGCTGACGGGCCATTGACTTGCAGTATATTTTATTCCTGCTGAAGAACATACTGTATAATGCAAATAAGTACTCAGCCTGCATTTTTCTTCTAACAGGTCTGTGAGGCTCCTTTGTTTCACATGCTTTAGCTTTTGATTTAAGGCTTAATCAAGGCATTCTCTGCGTGGGGTGTTTTGTATGAATAAGGGAGATAGCTATCTTCATCTTTGAAACTGAAAGCAGAAACATTTCACAAATGGTTTATGCTCACATTTGTGAGGATGCTTTATCAACATCAGATCTAAGGGATGATTTTCATCTGGGCAAATCATGGTAGCTCAGTTGGTGTCCGTGAGCTGCAGTGATTTACATGGCTGAATGTCTGGATCCTGCAACACTCAACATCACAAAGGAGAATACAGCCATAGATGAGAATTGTGGAACATATGTTATACTGAACTTTCTTGTTCTACAGTGGATTGTAAGCACAGTTGATCTCAGAACTGGTATCTACAGGTAAATATCTAGCTAACGAAAAGTCAGTGGGACATTATTTTCTTCAGAAAATGCACTTCCATCATCTCTGAAAGAATACCAGACTGACTTCCCCAACAACCCATATCAGTCAGAAAGAGATATAGGGGTGTCAGAAACTCAATATTTGGCAGACAGATCTATATTTATGAAATACAGTATTTCCATTTTTGCTTTTCAAATTTCTCATGTGTGTGGTTTATTTAATGCTGTTATACTCTAGATGACAAGACAATTTAAACATGTAATACATCAAAAGAAAGCATTAAGTGATTTAAGATTTCTTCTATTTCTAAAGAAAAATTTACTTTCATTTTGGAAGAAAAGTAGGTTTTGAAGACTCCAGGTCCTGTATTTCTCCCTCTCCAGGCTACTCTGCTAATGACATCAAGTTGTCTCCCCCTGTGTTTTGGGGGGTTTTTTTAAGGAAGAAAGCATAAGTAACATTGACTGAAAATCCTTAATGATGGAAGCAAAGGAAATGATAGGCTGGGCGAAGAGCCATCCATCCCTGGTGTCTCATGGTGGCTGTCTGTGAGTGGCCATGCCCTAGGAGTTCCCTCTTCCGTGCTGCACACGCCTGCCCCTGTGCCGTAGTCCGTAGTCCGTGAGTCCTGGAAGATGCCGCTGCAGCTGTCTCTGGAGCCATCTTGCAAAGTGAGTAACCAAAATTTTGGATTTAAAGCTACTTTTTCATTTGTGTTCTGGCACAGACAGTGCTGTACCTCACTCTATAACTCTCTCAGTGCTACAGTAGAGTTTCTGCTGTTGCCACTTTTGGTGAACTCGCCCTAATATTAAAAACGTGTTTGTGGAAAAAAAGCTGGTGCAGAAACATATGTGTTTCTTATCCCAATCTGGACTGAAGAAATCTGCCAGTTGCCTAGAATACTCATATAATTGTAGACATACCTTTATCTCTAGTCTTATAACTACATGACAGGAAAATGCAAATCCTTCACTATGCTACAATTTAACAGCAGGACTCACTGAAGCCTTACAATATTTATTAGGTCTTTTATTTATTGTCAGTTGCCTCCTTTTAAATATGGCATGGACACACACCGACACCAACACTGTATTTTACTTATGTCAGTAGGTGTGGATCATTTTCCAAAACAAGTAAAAAGAGTTTTAAAAGGTGTCTGTCATCTGTGAAGCTTTTTATTAACCAGTGTCAGCCACTGGAAATTATGTACAAACTAAAGCCAATGGAACAAAAGTTAATTATCTAGTACAGCTATTGTTATTATGTAGAGGAGCCAGCCCCTATTGATTAATGAGTCAGTGCTATGTTTGCTCACAGGAATATTAATATCTCGTGCACAAGAGAAGTCATTAAAATGAGCAAGGAAGACCTTGACTTTAAACTTAAAGTGCACATTGCTCTAGTTATCTGAATCATTTTGTCAGGTATAGCATCACAGTTATAAATTATTGAAACAAGTAGTTATTGTAAAGATAGTTCACATACCCTGTTTTAAATTAAACAAGTCGATATGCTTTTCCCATTATGTTCTTCACAGTTACAATTAGGAGACTTTAGGTGGACAGAAAAAGAGTTAGGAGATAGAATAAGACTCTGGTGTGTAAGCCTTTGCCTCACCTAACCCCTCACAGCATGAAAAAACTGAGTAATACTGGGTCCATGCTGAGCTGATGGAAAGGGTGGGTGTAGTGGACAAACACGGGATAGGTCAAGAGAGATCTCTCATAAAGTGACTGCAGAGCATTGCGGATGGTCTGATAATAATTAGCAAGTAGGTATTAAGGCATATTTCAGAATCCAGATTCAACACAGTCCCTCTTCTAATATTCCCAAAGCCACCAAATTATGCACTGGAAAACCTACATTACTATTTTATGAAAATGTATGTTATGGCATTAAGAATATGATAATACTTTACTGAAAATACAATTGCACCTGCTTTTACATCATACTAAGACCTCAAACTTAAAAAAGTCAACATAGATCTACAAAGTTGAGGTCTAGGATTCATTTACACTAATGCTATGTTACATCACTCTGACAGAGTAGAGGGACATTTAGTTGGGAGTATATTTTGTTGTATCCAATCTACATGCTATTATCAAGAGCAAGCCAAAAGCAGTCCTGGTATAAATGAGAAACAGGTGTCATGTAACCTAAGAGGAGAAGATATCAAAAGGGAATATAATTTAATTATATTAACATATAAGTACAATAGGAAAAAAAAGTTAAAACTTTAAGTTATTGAAAATATTAAGCAGTATTTTGGGGATTTTTTTGTAGGTATATTGTAGGTGATGCAAATTTGTTTCTGTAAAGATGCAGACGTAATTTTGAATTACACATTGTGTCTCCTCAAGCTTAACAGATTACTCCTGTAAATCATGGTGAGCATATGTCTTGGGGTCTTAATCCACCCAGAATTAAACTCCATTCTTGGTAAAATGGATCTGTGGGACCAAACCTGTATCTCTAGAGACCTGTGAGTCTCTACCAAGCTGAGTGAGCAGTAAATGTCTCTCTTTCTTCAACATAACTAATTTCCAGGACCAACTGTTACCTTATTTGGCTTGCTGTCATGGCAGAACAAGAAACAAATCTCCAGAAGTGGATGATCAATAAGAAAATGTCCAGAGGATAAGAACAGAAACAGCTAGTGGTTTGGAAAACATAATCTACTAGGGAAGATTGAGTGAGTGGTGTAATTTAACCTGGAGAAAGAGACTGAGGGAGTGTAACAGACTTCAACAAATATGAAAAAAGTTATGGAAAGGAAGGAGGGAATTATTGTGCCGTGTGTTCAATTCATATAAATAATCGCTTTTCAAGGGTAGATAGATCAAAGTGTAATCTGTTTAAACTGTAGCAAGGAAGATGTCAATTAAGAATGATTGGAGGTAGACTGCATGGTGAGGTCAAGGCAATTCATCCCCTTTTTCCTTTTGTGTTCCATTGTTTTGAAGCTTTTTCCTCATGCTGGTCCTGCAACAGACTATGTGAATGGGTTGTAGGAGGAATATAGGCTGTCTAGAGAGTTGCAAGGTGGAGGGAATTTGGCCTCTTCATCCTACTTCCCTCTCTGTTCCAGCAACCTCTTTTGCAGGGCCCGAGGCAATGTGCAATATTGCTGTGCCATGAGTCTGGATGTGGCTGACCCAGAGAGCCTCACAGGATACAAGAATTCAACAGGGGGGACACACAGGGGAGAGCAGGAATGATTTTTTTAACTGGAACCTCAGCCAAATGTCAACAGAATTTTGGGTAAGGTAGCAGAGCTGCTTCTGGTCAAGAGGATACCTCAGTGCAAGAGAATTCCCAGCTGCAAGCAGTGGGAAGATGAGAGCATCTTAAAGTAGAAATTACAGAAATCTTCTATAATGGAGCCTAAATCCAGAGTACTTGTAATTCTTTTGTTGTGGATCGTGCCAGCATGGAGAACTAGCACTTCATCCTGAGTCTGGGATATGAGACCAGGTGTGTGTGTACACAGCAGCCAGGAGAACTCTTCTCCTGGGCCCCAGGACATGCATCGGTATGGGCTGGGCTGGCGCTGAATGCGCTAAATGAGACAGTAGTCTCAAGAGACAAATTCTGCTCTTAATTAGTCCAATCCACCTTATTGATGTCAATTTGTCCGAGCATTTTCCTGGCTGTTGATGAGCTACTATCCAAAGAATTTGAAATCAGATGTTTCAATGCCAGTCACAGAGCCATAAAAAATGACACCTTCTCAGAGGACACCTTTAAAGTTCTTGAGCTATATTACAGATACATTTCTGGTAATCTGATGAATAAATATTTTGGGCTGAATTAAGTCTGAGTTTAGCTTTCTTAGTCATGGGTGGATTTTTGTTCCCACTCTGGTAACTTGCAAGGAGTAAAGAAATCAAAATAGACCTAATGATTTCAATTAAACATCTTATATTTTTGTATTTTTAAAAAAAAACTATGACATTTGCACTGAGATGTTTTAAGGTTAATAGATTACCTCTGAATCCCAAGGAAATCAAGCTTCCTGTGCCTGCCTGTCATTTACTGGAGTGGTTACTTATCTGTCAATATTTCTTCCTTTTTTTCAAGTCCCAGGCCTACTTGATCTTGTCCATTTGGCACTGCTGGAGGAATAACAAGTTTCTTCCCATCATGCACCTTTCTGGGATACATCATGACAGAGAAATCTCAAAGCCCAGGTCAATTATAACAGAAGATGTGTAGCACCTCTGCCCCCACAGCGTCTTCTGGGGATCCACTCAGCAAAATGATATAAAACTATTTCCGAAGACTTCCCATGGTCTGGCACTACTTAGAACTAAGTAACTGGCAAAATGTAAGGAAATATGCATATGCACCTCAGCTCACCTCCTGCTTTGCCAAAGAGTAAACTAACGTTATGTTCGGGGAGGAGCCTGAGGCTGGCAGATCCTCACCGTACACTAATTACTTTTTAATTAGAATTCATTGAATAAGGGATAGATACCTTCCGTACCTTCTCCCACTGATGATTTTAATATTCCCCTGTCAGGTATTATGAGGCAGTAGCTGACAGTGAGTTACATGAAGTAATCCTGTAGCTGGTAGCGACTTACATGAAGTACCCAACTTAACCATTTGTCTTAGATAAAATATGATCCCCATCCTTACTTCTTTCCATGGAGTCTGTCACTGGCGTGTTGATGTAGTGTTTGTTTACTCTCATTCCTGCAAGAGGAAATATCATAGTTCATGTATCAAATTACTGTAACTGACTGGAGCATTTTTATTTAAAATAATGTATAGTGATATATTTTCATAGTGTCATTGATGTATTTTCAGGACTTCTAATTTTTGCAAGCATATAATCTGAATATCATTTATCTGGGTGTGCAGTTGTAAAATCTATGGTAGTATCTGATCTCATTATAAAAATCAGCACTTAAGAATGGACTAGAGTAACTAAATCTGAAACTGACTGGATATTTGCGGTATTTTGATAGAAATAAGAAAAAAATTCAGGCTTTTTTTCTTTTTGCTGCAGGGCCTCTAAACACAATCTGACATGTGATGTATTTTTGAAGTCAAAGTTAATAATTCTCTTTACATAAAAAATAAATACCCCCTATTGAATACATGCTCTAAAATTAGAATTGCATATTTCTAAGTAATATACCTAAGGAAAGTGATTTATTCTAATGCAATAATGGCATAGATTTACAAAGCTTGAGTGATACAATGTTTCTCGTTATGGTTGTAAAATATTTGTTGCCACTGTGGGATTTTCTAGATCATTATTTTAAAAAAGGAAAAACCTACTTTGACAGATGAACTGGGGCCATTCTGAGCAAATCACAGATACTTCATATAACAAGGCCTCCAAAGAGGGGAGCACAGACTTATTACTATGGCAACCCAGATCAAAACACTATTTTAGTGGAGAGTTTCCAGTTTTACAATGCAATGATGATTGTTTATAGTACTATTGAAACCAGATTCAGCAAAGGTTCAAGAAATGAGCTGACAAGAGGAAAATCATTATAGATAAACTGGGGATATGTGAATGACATATTGTGGAATCTGCTATTATTTGATCAAATGATGAAATTGTTATACAAACATAGATAAATAGTAGTAGATGATAGAGTGTGATGGACCCTGTTTTGTTCGTTGTGTTATATTGTATAATTATTGGTTCAATGCTGAAAAACACAAAAGCAGATTTAATAATATAAATTACTTAACTTTGGAAAAAACCTAATAATTTATAAGATTTAAATTAAAAAATGCTTTTTTCATTCCCAAATCATTTAGTAACACCTACATAATAGCAAACATCACCTACACTTGGTGTTTAAACAGCACCTCTGGTGGGGTGTTTTTCTGAAAGTGTGTCAGATGGCACATGGGCTGGATAATACATGCTTAATCCTATATCAGCTAATCAGTGCTTAAAAACTATTAGTCCTACAGCTGTAAACCTCCTCAAACCTCTCTCATATCTGCAGTGGCAGGGAAAGGAGATTTTTTTTTTTTGTGGCAATAGCCTAGGAGCCGCTCTGGGTACCCTCCAGCTAGTTTCTGCCTTGTATCTGCTGGCTCAGAGAAATGAGTTGGTTATTAACCTCCTTCCTTGCTGTAATGGTCCTACTGGTTTCAGTATAGGAACCACAGGAGTCTGGGGACAGCGATCTGTTTTCTGCTTAGGATTATTTCTCAACACAAGAGCCATGGATGAGACTACTTGTTCTGGCTTCCTTCCAAGTTCATGCCATCCTTCACCTCAAGATCTTGAGTAAATCATGACCATTCCCCTCACCAACCTTCTTTCTAGCCCCACTTCTCAACTTTATAACATTAATGCTCAAAATCCTGAGTTCACCTGTCCATATAATTGGGGCAGTGTGGTTAAAGCCTCTGCTCCCACAGCATGAAAAGAAGAAGTTCCTAATGTCTTGTCTAAGGGCTATAGAAAGCAGCTCCTGTGCAGGAAAAACGTTGCCAGCCTGAGAAAAAAATCTGGAAAGAAGAAAGGCGAATGAAGACTGATCCCAGCAAATTTCCTATACCTGTAAATAGTCTGATCGTGCCTGAGCACGCCTCCGGCACAGGTCTTCCCTCTGCAGGATGAAGCTTGCTTCTTGCTTGATGTTTCTCTCAGGGGGACTCGCTGATGGGACAGCTCTGAGACCAGCAGGGCCCCAGGACCTCCTGAGACAGGGTCTTACTTCTCCATCCCCAGGACAGTTTTCTTCATGGGATCCCCAAGGTGAAAGTGTCTGTAAGCTCAGGGCAGTTTTATTCCCTTAAAGAAATAAGAGATTTACTTACAGAAGGCTTTAATAGTTGGACTGAAAGTACAAAGTGGGTGAAATGTTTTCAGAAAGGTGATTTACTATGTAGTTTGTATATTATTGGGGGTAGAGAGGCTTTAGCTCTTCATGGAAGTTTGAAGCAAAATTTTGCCTTACATTTGGTATTTCAGATGATGCAGGGAAAGCATTTTCTGGTGTAGTCATACTTGGACCAGAATACAAAACACATCCTTTAGTAAACTGTGAAGCTTTAACTTGTTCAAATGACACTTTCCCAGCAAATCATTTTGAACTTGAAAGCATTAGAGGGGTCACATTTTTACACAGCTGATCTACTGCTGAACAATCTTTCTTTAGGCCTTAAGAACATCCAGCCTTTTTTCAACACAAGTTATCATGCCTCATCCCTGAATTACATTTTCCTGAGTTTATGACCATTTCAAGGAAAATTAAGCCACTCCATTAACATCTGAGACCAGAGCACCCTTCAAAAATCCAATCCAGTAGAGCAGTTAATGGTATTTATTGCTCTTTCGTAGTGCACTTGTATTTTCTCTGCCATGTGAGGACTATTCAGACATCATCATACAAGTAACAGGAGTGTACTCCTTGTCTCAACTCCTAAGAGATGCCATTGGCACATACTTACTCATGGAGCAATTATAATCTAAAAGACTTCCTAGAATACAGATTGAGTCCCCATGTAAGTATAAGGAAGCAGTGAGTGTTTTCCACTGTTCATACACTCTTGCCTTTTCCATCTAACCTCACAAACATCTGTCTTCAGCCAAGAAACAGCAACAAGGATGTCAACAGCTGTTCTGTTCAGCCAAGAACAGTGCTGATGTTAAAGTTTTCCAAGATCACTGAGTTCCTACATTATTAATCAAGGGCTTCAGAAATAATTCGGCTGACAGACTACTTATGAGGCTTGTCTCCTGTCTTCAAAGTATGGTCAGTTCCCTGTCATGTAGCATGGAGCACAGATGAAGGCTGCTGTTCAGCTGGTGAGGACTGCATTAGTCACTTGGAGGTCATAAGAAACATCTGACAGAAATGGCCAAGGTAACCTTAGGTCCCTCATTGCCCCCTTTTTTTTTTTTTTTTTTGCACAGTTACATTTATTCTGGAATGTCTCCATATAATGTGAATCTCCAGGAGTTCTTGTAACAACAATGGCAAAGAACATTTTTGCCTTTATTCATCCTTGCTCCCCAATACTTACTTCTGGTTATCCAGCTTACCTGGTGGATATCCAGCCCTGCATGGTGGATGCCCTGTGTGGCCAATGGTAGGCAGCATCTGAAGACTGTAGTCACTTGTTTACTTGATATTTCTGATAGTGCTTCCCACACAGAGGATACCAGAGAGATGGTTTCTGTCTTCCTATGAGAGTTCTTGATGGCTGAGATAACCAAGACAGTAAAGATACCAGTCTTCTCATTTAATGAAAAGAGGTATACCAGCACA